CTCCTAACAAAATATAGAAGTGAAAGTGACTAGTGGCAATAAATTAGATCAGATTGACTGAAATTGAGTGGACTGTGGTTAGAGAATTAGAGTAGCTTTGGCCAGTTTAGTATTATGGTATTGAGAAAAGAGAAAATCCACAGACACAAGTAATTAATTTCTCGAAGGCTATATTTCCAACTTGATCATCCTTCACCTGTTCTTCCGTCTCATAATAACAAGAAAGGCTGAGAGTTGTTCAGATTTGGCATGCAGTCCAAAGCTGTACTTTAAGAGATAAGAATTTGGCTTTTATAAACAGGTATTTTCATTAATTAAAAGGGCCTCAACATTACATAATAAGATTTATTGAAGAAGAACAATACTTAGAATGATAGCACAGTTGATTCAGTAACAAAAGACAGAGGAAAATAAGACAAAAAGTGATGGAGCTTCATAAAAATGATATGTTGGGAACATCATCCTAAGTGACAGTTTGAAGGCTTTTAAGTTTCTGACTGCCCTACATGTTAAATGTATTTCTTTATTTATAAACACATACATTTTAATAATTTGTTGGTCTTATACCTTTTTTTTTTTTATTATTATTATTTTAGGGATGGAGGCAACAACATTATGGTCGTCTGTTGCTGGGGGGTTTGTTGGGATCATAATTGTGATCTGTGTGGTTTACATTCTATGGTAAGCTCTGCTTCTTTTTTAATTTCCATTTACAACAAGGTTATCAAAGTAGCTAAAGTGCTGATTGTATTTCTTTGATTCTTTATTGTTATTTTCCAAAAAAATTAAATTAAATAAAAAATATATATATTTAATTGGGACTAACTCAAAATAGCAGAAATGTGTGACTCGAGGGAGAATGAAATAGAAATCTGAAATGTGTGGAGTGCGTTTGTGTTCTGCTCCCCTAAATCAACAGGTTTTAAAATTTTGGCCCCATTCTATCGCTTTGATATGTTTGAATCCAATCCATTGCAGTTTAGCTATTTCTGTGTGTTTAGGGTTGCTGTGCTGCTAGAAGGTGAACTGCTGTTCCAGTTTACTTCTATGTGTTTTCCAATAAAACCCTGAAGCTTTCTAAAAACAGCTTAAATTATAACTGAGTTATATTACACACAAGTGGAACCGCTGATTTTACCCATAAAGTGACTTCCAAAGGAAAAAAAGTTGCACTGGATTTAATCAAAGGTCCTATATTTAACCTTTTCAAGCCTTTCAAAGTCAACTGTGTCATGATGAAATATTGTCTTGGGTAATAGGGAGCATTCGTTATGAAATACCAGTTCTTCCCAGCTTTTTTTTTAAATTGTCATTACACTGTCACAAGCATAGAGAAACGAAATTAACTCTGCATTTTAACCCATCCCCTTGGGGAGCAGTGGGCTGCCATTGTGCGGCACCCGGGCAGCAGTCTGGGGTTAAGGGTCTTGCTCAGGGATCAAGATTTGCAGTCTATGGGAGTGGGGCTCGAACTCAGAACCTCTGGACTCCAAGCGCAATACCCTAACCACTAGGCCACCACTTACCTTCTTTCTGTTCTTGCCTTCATAGCAAAATGGCGTCTTACCTTGTTGTTATATCGCACAATTCATGACAATGCTGTATCATGTTATTGTGGAGATTAGTTTTTTCTATAGGAAGGCCAAACAAAGTCTAAAATGTCTTGCAGCAGTAAAAACCGCTGTCACTGTGCAGATTAGCCGTTAAAAGAGCCACTTCGTGTCAACTGTTAGCAGTAATGATCGCTCTGCCTCAAATTGCTGCTCACCGGTGGTGAAAGTGGGCATGTTGTTTGCTGAGCAGGTAGTGTGAAGCTGAGGTTAACACTATCCTGTGTAGGGTGGTAATGGTCACACATATTTTAAGGGTTGGAAGGGAAAAAGGAAAAACATTGAAATACAATTTTCCTACCAGTTTTGAAATTATGCATGATTTTACTATACAGAATACCAAAAAAATATATAATAATTGAATAAAAACAAGTTTTTTTTGTTGTATTATGCAGAAATGTGTAAAAAGTTAAGGATGATATGTATAATTTAGTTTCAGGAATTATTAATTTGTGTTTTTGTAACTCAGAGCCCAAGATAGGTTACTTTGGCTCTGCCGTCTTTTGGATACTTATACACTAAGAGATTAATGCATAAATAACCCTGGAGCTTTGTACATTTTTCCGAACAGTCATTAGCTGTTGCAGTCTATTTCACAATGTTTGCAATAAACAAGATGTTTACTTTAAGAGAATAAACCAGAAATCGTATCTGTCATTAACCTTCCAGGCGTTTAAAGTGGAAAACATCATCTTTACATCAGACTCAGGTAGGAAAATCCAGCAGATCTGAATGTACTTTTAGAAGCTTGTTTCTACTTATAGCTGTTGGGGGACCTTGCATAAACTTATGACTAATTTTGGTTGTGTAAAGAAAAGCAGTGATGATGCATCCTGCTTGAAAACCTATTTTTAAAGGTCCCTGTAAAGTTTATGTATTGGTACATAGCAATGTTTGCTGTTGCTATGTCCAAATATGACAGTGTTTAAAAGAAACATGTGGCTGAGATACCGGTTAAGCAGAATCACTTATTCTGCTGTCATGTTTTTCAGAAACCAGGTTTCCAGGAGCCTGCCGGCAGCGTAGAAAATCCGGACATTCATTATGGAGACATCGACTTCTCTGTTATGAGAAAATCCTTCAAAACAGTGCAAGATGAGAAAGAGCTGCAGAGTATTGTTTACTCAGAAGTGAACGTGTGCAGACCTGAAAACAAGTTGAAAGAGGCTGAGGATTGTACTTATGCTCAAGTAAAGAAGAAACCAGTCAATTCACATTCCAGTTAGAGTTATATTATGCTGTGTCAAAAAGGGATTTTCTTCTCATTTGCATATTTGTCACACTTACAGAATATTTTAGAACATCGATAAGGGGCAAAGGAAACACAATAGTGCAGTTTTTAAATGAGGATTATCTAGGACTGACTGGACCATTCCAAATTCTTCAGTCTGTTTTTTCTTCAGCCATTCAGAGGTAAACTTGCTGGTATGTTTCTATCAGCTGCTGCAGAACCAATGTTCGTGTTAGCCTAACATCACAAGCAGCTGGCCAGATGTTCTCCTTCGGGATTTCTTTAGTAAAAAGCATCAAGGTTCCATTTTTTTGTTCTTTTGCAGCAAGTCTCTAATCCTCTCAAGCAGCAATGCAGCCCAGACCATCACACTACCACCATGTTTTTTTTTATTGTTATAATTTCTCTATTTTTTCCAACCTAAAATAAACATCAACAGCATAATTTTTACAGCAGATGGAATGGGACCAACAGCTTCATACGTCCAAATAATAGTTTCCTGAAAGTCTGCAGGATCTGCTGTGCTGCCATGGAGACATTTTTGGTCCTTCTCCTTTTTATGGTGAAGGCATTAACGCTGATCTTTACTGAGGCAAGGCCGGTCTTACAGGGTTACATACATTGTGATGTTTATTTCTCCCATCATAAAAACCTGCATTAGAAATGGCATTTATTTCAATTTCAATTCAGTTTATTTATATAGCGCCAATTCACAACACATTTTCTATCCAAGGAAAACCAGTTAATTCCATCAACTCATTGACTCAAATGTAATCCTTCACACTGAGCATACTTGTAGCGACAGTGGAGAGGAAAAACTCCCTTATAACAGGAGGAAACCTCCAGCAGAACCAGGCTCAGTGTGAGCGGCCATCTGCTGAGGGCGACTGGGGTTCAAGGAGACAGAAACAGAGATATAAAAAGCAGCTGTAAAGGCCAGGCCCCCGTCCACTGACATTTACTGTGTACTTGTGTTATTTTCGATTGACATCTAAATTTGTTTGATGTTCAGAAACACACGCTTCACAAACGTAAGGAAAAGAATCAGGAAGAAAGCAAACACATTTTAATGTTTTGTATTTAGTCTATTATTTTATTCAACAATTAAAAGACAGACGACAGTATTATTCTTAGCAATTATGACTTGGGTTAGATTTTCGGGGCTGGTATGATAGCGGCAAGGTATTAACTTAATCACACACCCTGCCTCTGTAGAGGAGATGTGAAGACCTCGCCTAATTCAGCCAGGCCAACTATTCCCTTTAACAACCGACCTTTCAGACACTTAGACGTGTTGGATGCATTACAGGCTAACAAAAGAAGTCAAACGACCCCCATTCCAAAAGGGTGGAGTCCTTCGTCCGTTTCAATTTGCATGTTTTCAAACCAAAAACAAGGCTTTGCTGTGCTACTGTATAAAACCTTGAACTCAACACTATTCCTGACATTTGAATTTAAAAAAGCTTCTTGGATTGGAAGCGAAACATCTTCAAACTTGGAAACAAAGCCCAGGGGATTGTTTTTTATTTTCTTTTTATGACCTGGATGACAGATAATCTTCACCAGCGTAAGTCAATAAAGTGTTTCTAAATAAAGCTTTTTGTAGAAAAGAGCACAACTTGGTAAAAAAAAAACAAAAAAAAAGATAACCTAAAAAAAGAGATGTAAAAAGATTTCTCTGATACAAATAACTTCTGTTAGGTGATATTCAGAAACTGAAAAACGTGACCTGAAAACAGTTTTGTAACCAGATGTGCTTCCTATCAGCCCTTTAACACAGAGGATTGAATTGAATTAGATAGGGAAGTTGGTCACTGCTGAGGTCTGTTTCCCAAAGCAGGTTTAAAAACTCAGATTCAAAACCGCAACTCTAAATTTAACTTGCCTAAAGTCGGGAACTCTGAGTTTTCGGTTTCACAACGGCTGTTATGTTTGATTTCAGAGGCCACATCCTCCAAGGACCCGGTGCAGATAGACCGGGTACTTGGAGGTCTGTAAAAATAATCTCCTTCTTTGGCGTTCACCGCCCAAACACTCGCCTAGCAACCGTAACAGTTGACACACAAAGCAGGCAAAGAATTGATGCCAAACTTCTCACTACTGCACTGGGTGCTAATAACATTTTCGAGGAGCTTCAGCAGCAGTACCGTCATCATGAATCTCATATTTATAGTCCCCACACTGTAGATGTATTATAATCTGTACTTATATGTCAGCCAAACCCATTTGAACCCGAGGTTTTGATTTAACTGCCAAATTAAATCCATTCACAATTGATCTGAGTTATTGATTTAAATCTGATCTACATTTTGTTTCCAGCTTAACTAATGTTTTCGGTGTCTTTCACGCTTGTTTGTGATATCAATTTGACACCCCCGAAAAAAAACAAAACAAAACAAAAAAACAAAACAAACAAAAACTGACCTTTTTGCTGCTTTTTGACATTTATCCGCAATGTCTAACCTACCGTATGTATTGACTATTTAAATTGCATTTCTGACAGTTATACTTTCAAACCCTATTGTAGTCAGTAAATTGGTTCCTTTGAATACTTTTAAGCTGAGAAAGAGATGTTTTGAGTTGGACTCCCTCACATGTCAATGTTTTAATTGAAATTTTATTGTAAGTGCATATTTGGCTTTTATGTGTGTGCCTTTGTACGCATGTAATGATGTGATGTAATTTTGATGCCTATCTTGGCCAGGTCTCCCTTGCAAAAGAGATTTTTAATCTCAATGGGTATCACCTGGTTAAATAAAGGATAAATAAATAAATAGCATCAGTATATTAAAATGATTCTTTGTGATCAGGGTAGTTTTGCCATCACCTTGCCATCATCATCAGTATATATCAGTTACTTTATGAAGAGAAATCCTGACCTCTTGTGGCTGTATGCTAAAAGTTGCAGCCCCACTTCAAATCAGTAAAGCAAGGAAATAACAGAGCTTTAGTTTAAGAATGTTTAGTATTTCAATTAGACCATTTCTCTAATGGAAAACCAATGTGTCTATGAATGAACAAGTAATATGAAATTGGAAATGTTTTGTTACAAAAGCAATGCTCAAAATGGGGCAGTGGGAGAATAAAACTGAAGCAAAGTTTCCCTTTTAAGCCCAGAAACCACTACCAGTCCTTCTCTTCCAGTTGATATATAACATGAACTATTAAAACTGATGGAGTTCATGTTTAATGATGTGTAAACTGTGCAAAAGTAATCATATTCCCTGGGGATTTGTCTACATTGACTGGAGCGTCCACAGCAGAAGTATCCCTATGGAAATGGCGTTGCTCATCATTTTTAAATGCCAGTTTTTAATCTGTGAGTAAAGTAGAAAAGGTTCCTTTCTTGAATTACTGTATTAAGAATGGAGAATTAAACATTCTGATTTAAATGATGAGGTAAATCAAAACTGATAATTATCTACATCAAGGCTTCCGTAGCTAAAGGAAGGCGCATTGAATCAAGGGTTCTGTAGAAAGTCAAAGCATAAGCAATTTATAATAAAAACAAAACAAAATAAAATTGTATCCAATTGTTTTATTTTTAGACCATATATACAATCACCAGTGTAAAACAGTTTTAGTTTTTGTCTAAAGTAGACTTCTATTGCATAATAATCAATCACTGAAATAATTCTTTAAGCTTAAGAGATAAAACATAAAATATGAGATAGAATAAAAAGATTTAACCTTAAGCCCAGAAGAAAAGAGTTTTGATAAAAATGGCAAAAAAATGATAAAAAAGCCAGAAGAAGGATAAGAGAGTGAGTTCACTGTTTCTGAGTCCGTCCGTTCATGGCTGGTAAATGGGACTTTCTAATTTAATGTAGTTAATTAACATAATTTGAAGAATTTAACTTTGAATTGCTGTACATAATTAATTATTTACTGTTTAATATTTTTAGATTTATGCTCACCACCAAGCTGGCTCATTGTGAGAAAAGTCCACTGTATTAAGGCCACAAGATGTGAAAAATAAAAATCTACAACTTCTTCCTGTTCTGAACTCAACTCAAATAGCTCGAAAGTGCTGAAGGTTTTTTTTTTTTTGTGAAAGCCAAAATTCACAATGCATATCCTTAGATGGTAAAAGAAGTTCATTCTTCATCCTTTAAATGCCAGATTCCTGTGGATTACACAGAAAGGGAAAAACATGGCAACTATTAATACACATTTATACAAAAAAACAAGTTTAGAATAAACACGATGATCAATGCTGATATACTGTAGTTCATACCTGGAGCTGTCTGAAAATCTTACATATCAGACTCTGCAACAAGTCAAAGAAAAAAAAAAATCCATTATTTTTTTTTATCATGAACAGACTTACATTATAAAAAATAAATGTCCGCCATTTACTTTTTAGGCTCTAATGTTTAGAAGGAAATAATATCCTTCAAGGAAATGCTTTTAAAAAGTTCTTAATTTCGGCACTTTTAACAACTTTAGCAATCATGTGAATAAGGTTTAAAGCAATACCCCAGACGTAATCTCTTGGGATTCCCACGTGGGTGACTCTGCAGACGTACGTCTCTCCTGACATCGGTGTGAAAGGCACATGCTTGGTGAGGTGGTAGTGCCAGTTATCCTCAAAGGCCAGGTCAGTCTGCTTAGCATCAGGAATTTCATTGTCATTCTTTAGCAGCTCAATTTTGATCTCAGGTGGGTGGAAGTCGCTGGCGTGGCAGATTAAGACGTTTTTTTCCCCGTACTTCCCTGGGTTCCGGCTGTAGACCTGGACATTCGGTGCAAGAACTAAAATAAACAAAGACACCATTAACACATCTCTAAAAAGTACCAGCATTAAACTTCAAACCAATTCACTAAATAAAACAGCTTTTCTTTTAGCTAATCAAGTGATGTAGTTATGACTGCAGTTACTTAAAATCAAAGGTTATAGAAAGAACCAGTTCTTCCTCTATAATCAGGTTATGCAAGCAACACTGAACGCTTTCATTTAGGTTTATGGAAGGTTTCTCATCTTCCCCCAAATAATCGTCTCATATTTGCTAATATCAGATTGTTGCCTTCCTGTAAGCTAACTGTTTGTCCTGCCATCATCTGGACCAGCTTGGTCATAGAGGGTTGTTAGCCATTAACAGTGGGTATTGGGTGAGAGGTGGGTACACCGCAGACAGGTCGCCCGTCTATTACAGGGCAACGCAGACATAAAAGCTGCACATAAACAGACTTAAGGAGGACAAAAAACTACAGCTAGAAATTAATTTTTTTAGCGATTAACCATATTTTCAGTTAATGAAGATTTAAGGTTTTAAATTTTTGTTCCACCAATGAACTCATTGGGCTTACATAACTCAGAGCGATAGGGTTTCGTCACTTTTTTGTTCTTGGATGTGTAGTGCTGATAAACTACCTCACTGTGTAACACCACTCGTCTCAAACATTTAGTGTGTTATATGTTTTATTTTAATGTTGTTTCACATGATTTAAAAAAAAAAAAAGTATGTTTCACAACTTGCATTTAGTTGTCCTTCAAATGAAGGTTACGTCACAGAAAGGATGGCTGAAACAAAAGCTGGTTTCTGAAAGACTCTTCAATTAACAGTCAAAGGTGATATAATAAAACTAGATCTAAATTAATTATATTTGGTAAAAATATATAAATAAAACAAATAAAAATCAAAGATTTGATTTTTAAGTAGCCCATGCATAAAATGAACCTCGTCATTATTCGTTTGAACTGAGGAAGCTGGGGTACCAGGAGAAAAACCTCAGATTTATAGAGAGAACAATCAAAAAGACCCCAGGGAAGAACTCAAACCCAGGACCTTCCTGCTAAAGGACAACATACAGCCCCTCTGTGATCCTTTTTTGTAAGACTCTTTAGGCAGTGACATCTACCAAACACTACCAAGCACTAGTAGCTTGTTTTTTGTTGTTGTTATTTTTTCATACAGTGGACTGACAGGAAAGCGTGGGCGAGGGAGGGGGTTAGAGACATGCAGCAAAAAACCACAGGTGGAACTTTTTGAGGTAAAGGCCTCCATATATGGGTCGCGCACACTATCCACCGCGCCACCTAAGCATTCCCGATCCTGCCGTTTTTTAAAAGAATTCGATCCAAATATACTCAAATTGTTATAAAGCAACCAAAGTTTTGGGAGCCAAACTTTCTTTTTACTTATATTTTCCTCATTACTCATCTACCATAGTTTTCCAATGACTAATAAAGACTCATAAATTCTCCGTGTGAGATTGTTTGTCTTAACTATAGAACCCAAAGTAGATGGACCAGTCTGAGCGGAATGAGGAAAAGGGTTGGATTTCAAGATAGAGGCAGAAACATCAGCTGCTGCTCCAGCAGAGCGTCTCTAAAGGTGAAACGCCAATAGTTGTTTTGAACAGCTAGGAAGGATGGGGTTCAATAACACAAAAATCAAACCATTCCCGCTGTTTGGATATACAATAGAGCAATCACAGTGCTTTTAAGAGTATTTTATGGTAGTAAATGCTACGGCTAATTCCTGATAGGGTCTTAACTCCGCCTATAAAGACACAGGAAACCTCAACATGAAGCACTCTGTATCATGAGGTTAATGATAAATAAAAAAAACTGTTGGACTTTGACACTTTTTATAGTCTCCGTCACATTGTGTCAAATTTCAGTCTTAAGTTGATATAAAAAAAAACAGTCTTACTTCATGTTGGAACATTTTTCCCCCCTTGAAGTAAAGAAATTAACTATTAATAAATGGGAAATATTGTTTGATACAATAAAACTATTTCACAAATTTGAGCTGTTGAAAACGTAATAATTAATAATTATTAAAAAAATTATGCGCTTTTGGCATTTACTTAATCACATTTAGTTACTTTAACATAATCGTTTTATGTCTTACGCTGCTAACATGAAACAATTGTGTTAAAGTAACTAAATATGATTAAGTTATGCCAAAAACGGCTGCATTATTTTCTTTTCAGTGTAGTATGCCATCCAGGTGAAGGTAATGCAGCCCAATAAACATTCAAGACTCTGACTGAATCTGACCGTATTGTAATATAACTAGAATTTAACTAGAATGTATGTAATTTAATTTAAATATGTCGATTCTTTCGGATTGAACTCTGTTGTTTATCTGTTTTAGCAATGAAGGAGTTTGTCTTATAAAATTGTCCTGATATGTTGTTTAAATTAGCTCTTCAAACATAAAGTGCAATAAAGCTGAGTGAAATATTTTAATATATTCACAAAAAAAAACAACAACAGAGGATGTATAAATTTTAACAAACAGTAAATATTTTCCTGTGCAATAATATCACACATGTTCTCTTGTTTTTATATGGATAAAATAAAACTTTAAAAAGCTATATAGCTTACCACCAAAATGAACATCTGATTCTAAGATATTTAAACATAACATATTTATGTTATTATATAATACATTTAAAAAACCATAATATACCCTAAAAAAAGTGTTGTCAAAGTTTTAATAAAAAAAAAAAAAAAAACACTAGTATAGATAAACTATACTTGTCACATTTACAAGAATCTGTAAAGACAAAGAAAATATGATGTATATGATGAAGTTCTTACAAACTTTTGTGTATATTTATCTATATAAATGTATAACAGTCTAAAGGCCATTTTGTGGCTCTGTGAGCATAAATATTTAACCAGGATTGTTTTCTCACAAACAAACTTCAGTTAAATGTCTTTTTTACTAGTAAGACATTATAGATTAAATAAATATGTCTTTTAAAAACACATTTATCAGATATCAAACTATATTCATGGTGAGGCCTGAAGCTGACGCATGTTTTTTTAATCTTCTTCCTTATAGCTCAGCGCCATTTCTCAACAAACGCTGAAATATAAACAAGAACAATACACACCTTTCCTTTCTTCTCCAGCCGTTACAAGATGGCACAAGATGACACAAACGACGAGAGAAATGAAAAACTTCATGATTCTTCGCCTTTAGACGGTCTCTGGTGGAATATAATGTTTATTCTTCGTAAGAAACGCCAGGCAACCTGAGCTACCCTAGAAACGAAAGTAAAATGTGGGAGAAATGACGCGCATCTTCCGCCCAACAAAGTCTCTGAATGTCACGTGATATTTTTTCGACCAATAGAAACATTTGTATGAGCGGTTACTAGGTAGAATTGACAGGAAATTATTGACGCTCTCTACCTTTTAAAGTAAAACGCAATAAAATGGCGTCCTAACGCCACCAAGTGACACGAAATTAAAGAAGAATAAACGGATTATTATCTAAATACCTTCAATCAACTAATAATATGATTTTTCTGGTTCTTGTTTCTGTCAAATATAAAGTAGACTAGATGTCTGTTATATATGAAGTATTTCATCATATTACATCATAACGTAATTTCATGAGAAAAAAAGTTCAGACATGTTTGACTACTTCCTATTACCTACATAAATCAAATCTAGTTGTGTTTTTGTTTTGTAGATGATTTTAAGTATTATTCATAGACTTTATGTCAACATCGAACAGTATGGAAAAAGCTACTTAAGTTTTAAGTCATAAATCTCCTCTCAGCGAGTTATGTTTAGGCATTTGGCAAATGCTTTAATCCAAAGCGACTTACAAAGTAGACACAATTTACAGTTATTATCAATAAGTTATCTAGAGTAAAAATCTCTACTCAGAATCAATGGTGTCAAAAGTAGCTACACACATTTGTTACTTAAGTAGAAGTATAGATACTGCAGTTTAAAAACGCTGCTAAAAGTTGAAGTATCAACTTCACCTCTTTACTCAAGTAAAAGTGAAAAAGTATGAGCTCCAAAAACTATTTAAAGTATAAAGTAACCTTAAAAAAAAAACATCCAGATTCCACTATATGAATTGAAAGCTCAATTTTTTGACTATTTCGAAAAATTCTTTGAGATAGGGCCAAAGATGAGGGAGGTCTTGTTGGTCTCCATCTCCCGATACGCTCTCGTCTGTGTCTGACCTTTCAGACATTTCGACATCTGTTGTGTTTGCGTTGTATGACTCATCCAATCACACTAGCTTTCACTAGATGTGGAACACACCAATGATCTGCATTGGATGGCGCACATGAAGTGAAATAAATATTTATAAATATTAAACCGAAGCCAAGAGTAACGAGTAACGTTTGTTTTAAAAATATAAGGAAAAGAAAGTACAGATACTTGTGTAAAAATGTAATGTGTAGAAGTCAGAAGCTGGAAGATAAATTAGTAATGGAGTAAAGTATAGATACCTAAAAAGAGTACTTAAGTAAGAAAGTATTTGTACTTTGTTACTAAACACCTCTGCTCAGAATCAGTGGTGATAGCAAAGAGAGGGAAGTGCAGTAAGAGTAATATTTAATCCTTTTCAGTTTATTTATATAGTGCCAATTCATAACACACATCATCTCAAGGCACTTTACAGTTCACCAGATCATACGGTCAATTGATTTAAAGTTTTCTATCTAAGTAAAACCAGTTGATTGCATCGACTCAAATTGTAGAAGACAGTGTACGTTTAAATTGCACTGATTCCCGATATCTCATCAGTTGAATCTTCCTCCGTCAGAAGGAATATGTCAACTCCATCGGTGCAGCTCAGGGGGTTTATTAATGGAATAGAAGCAGGTACATTGGAGATGATGGTACAGACGATGAGGTTTATATTTGTTTTTCTTAGGGATATGTATTTAGATGTGTGGTTATCTGAAACAGAACAAACAATAAAGATGCATATTTATAGCCATGCAGGTAAAACGGGTGCATATAGATGCAGGATGAAATTGGCTTGTAATACCAAAGAAATTCACTAGAGGGCGCCACAACATCACACATGCATTATTGTCAGTATTGTCAGTTTAGAGAAACTAAAGGACAATTTAACCTCCTGGGATAAAATTGATGGAAATAACCCAATATCAGACTTAAAATGCCTTCTTACATCGTAAAAAACGCACACAGGTTTCATACACACTGGATTAAAGAAGGATTAATGGTGGATGTTATTTTGTGCCACCGAACCACCCAGAAGCATGGAAAACACAACTTGCTCAGCTACGTGAAATTAGAAATACAAAATGAACAGATGCATCATGGGTAATGTGGTACTAAACAAACGGATGGACTTTTAACACAAATGCAATGCCTCACAAGAAGCATGCCTGTAGCAACAGTGGAGAAGAAAAACTCCCCTTTAACAGGAAGAAACCTACTTCAAAGAAC